CAACCAATAACAAATGCTGGCGGGGTTGTGGAGAGAAAGGAACCCTTCTCCATTGTTGGTGGGAGTGTAGACTGGTGCAACCACTGTGGAAATCAATGTGGTGATATTTCAAAAAACTAGAATTAGAGGTCCCATTTGACCTAGCTATTCCCTGCTCGTTATCTTCCCTAAAGAATTAAAAGAATTCTATCACAGTGATCTACGTGCACCCATGTTTATAGTGGTACATTTTGTAATAGCTAAAGCTTAGAAACAGTCCAAGTGCCCATCAATTGGAGACTGGATAAAGAAGATGTGGTTTTTAAAAATAAAATGGAGTACTACTCAGCCATAAGGAATGAGAAACTAGAGACATTTATAGCTAAGTGGATGCACAATGAGGCGATACTCTTAAGTGAAATAAATAGGACACAAATGTATAAAAATGATAGTTTCTCTGGTATGCAAAAATGAAAGTGCGAATAAGGATTAAGATGAATAACTGATAATGTGAAATAGGAAGAAAAGGTCCAAAGGGGAAGGGGAAGTGGGAGAAATAGGGGAAAGGAAAGAAGGGAAAGGAAAAAATATAAGAAAAGGAAAAAATGAAAACAAAGTTTTTGTAAATAGGGAGGGGTGGAGAGCTTGAAGGGAGGGAAGGGGAATGGGAAAAAAATAAGAACCAAGATACATGATGTAAAGGTACAAGTTCCCAATGATAAATGTAAATGTATTGTATACCTAAAATTTACCAATAAAAGAATTTAAGAAAAAAAACAAATACTGTTTTTTCAGCACTATAAAATTACTTGTAATGCTATATTTAAAATACTTTATCAGTTAACCTAGTTGGTATTAAGATGGGTTAAATACAAAATGTTTTATAGAAATATTTTTCTTATATGGAAATGGTCCAAATTGCTCTAACCCAGTAACAGAAGGTCCTAGATCAGAAATTTGTCCCCATTTATTTATAGAAATGGTTTTAATACGAAAGACAAGAATAAAAAATAAATGAAATATGCAGCTCAAAGGAAGATGATAGCAAAGATCTTCAATATAATGACATTGTCACATATGATTTATTTTTGCAAAACAATATTTCTAACAGTCAGTCACTCTCACTATGTAGACTTTCATAATGCCTGACAGCCTTTCACTCTGGAATAATAAGAGGTAGGGCTGACTAGTACAGGAAACAGTACACACTAAATAGAAATAAGTTATCTTTTTAATTTATAGAGTGGATTTGAGTTTTGAATCAAAACTAATAAACTGTGTAAGAACTCCTAATATAGATAAGAAGAGTTCAGGGATGATGGAGGATGGGGGTTCACGAATGTAAAATACTGAGGTCCCATATATGAGTAGCTGGTTCATGTACTGGGAAATGACTGCAATCATCCTATCTGTTCTGAAAGAGCCTTAGCCTTGCTGTGGCATGGTGATGGCTGAAATTCATGCTTGAATTACGGCAAGGGCTTAGAACGGAGTCCTCTGGAATAGACAGTAAACCCCAACATACAAGCAGGGAGCTTGGTGTGGGCTAATACCCACTCAAGAAGAGATACCCTGAGCACAGCATCCATCCAGCAGTGCCTTTTGGTATGGCCAAAAGGCCAGAGCTGACCCATCCCAAGTCAACTCACCAAAACAGGTACCCAGATGTGCACACCATGTTGGCTGATACTCTGACCTAAGGAACAGAAAAGGTAACCTATAGAAGACAAAGAGGCTAGAGTTTTCCCAGTGGTATACTTTTCAAAAAGTTAGATGGAATAGTTGCTGGATGGCCATTCTGCCTGCAAGCAGTAGCAGCTACAACTATGCTAATGGAGGAAGCTACAAAACTAACTTTAGGATAGAAACTAGAAGTCCTGACTCCCCATTAGGTCAGAGCGATTTTTGAGACTAAAGATTACTTGTGGTTAACAGGAGAATGGCTTGCCAAATATGAGGACACCCTTGTTCTTAGACACCCTTGAGGTTAGCACTACTCATAATCCTGCCTCTTTGATGTCTACAGGCCTAGAAGTTAGCCACTCTTGTGAACAAGTAATCTCCCAGACCTATGCAAGCAGGCAGGATATCAGTGACCTGTCCTTTCAAGGCCCTAAGGAGGTGTGGTTCACTGATGCAAGTAGCTTTGTCTAAGAAGAACATCAAAAGGCAGGTTATGCAGTTGTCAGTCCACAATAAGCCATTGAGGCCAACTTCACCCAGGGACCTCTGCTCAAAAGGCAGAGCTCATAGCTCCTACTTAGGCATTGATATTAAATTATACATCTATACCAGTGGTGGCAAACCTATCCATTACTGCTCTATACAGACTCCAAATATGCCTTTCTGGCACTACATGCCCCCATGCAGCAATTTGGAAAGAAGGAGTTTACTGACTAACAAGCAATCATTTATAAAACACAAGTAGGAAATTCTACAACTGCTAGAGGCAGTCCATCTTCCCAAGCAGTTTGGAGTCATGTACTGTAAGGG